CACACTCCCTGTTTCCCATTTGCACGACACGCGTCCTTTGGGATTTGGAAATGCAAACTCGCAAGGGATCGCCGAGTATCTTGCACTTTGTTCTTACCTTGTTTGCGTATGTGTGTACTCACTTGTGTTACCCTTAGCTATCTCTCTCTCTCTCTCTCTCTCTCTCTCTCTCTCTCTCTCTCTCTCTCTCTCTCTTTCTCTCTCTCTCTCTAGAGTGCTAAAAAAGAGAGCATGTGTGTGTGTGTGTGTGTGTGTGTGTGTGTGTGTGTGTGTGTGTGTGTGTGTGTGTGTGTGTGTGTGTGTGTGTGTGTGTTCGTTCATGTATTTGTGTGTGTATTTTTTGTTGTTGTGTATTTTAAAAATGAGAAGCGCTTTGTAAATTCCTGATAGCCCACCATTAGCTCAGTCCGTATCAATCTGTGCTAAAGCGCTTATTGTTTTAACTTACAAATAAAACATTGAAGCCGCTATAGGTTGGGTCATTTACGCTCGGAGAAAGCAGGCGTTCCTCCAGCGCAGTCTACCTCAATGGCAGCATGGGGGATTGGTTCAGGACAACGGTCGGGTTGAGGCAAGGCTGTTTGCTCTCTTCCATTCTCTTCAACATCTTCCTAGAAAGAATCATGACTGACGCACTGGAAGACCACAGTGGAACAATCAGTATTGGAGGCAGGACAATCACAAACTTGCGTTTTGCCGATGACATCGATGGAATAGCAGGAGAAGAACAGGAGCTTGCCACATTAGTAGAACGGCTGGACACAACCTCCGCGGTCTACGGCATGGAGATCAATGCCAAGAAAACCAAGCTAATGACCAATAACACCAATGGCATCAACGCGGACATCAAAGTCAGTGGCGAGAAACTTGAGACCGTCAACAGCTTCAAATACCTTGGATCGGTCGTCTCAGATGAAGGCTCAAGACCAGAAATTCTCTCCAGAATCGCGCAAACAACAGCTTCGCTGTCAAAACTGAAGGCTATTTATTGGAAGAACAGAAACATCACGCTCAACTCGAAGATCAGACTAATGCGCTCACTGGTCACCTCAATATTTTTTACGCCTGTGAGTCGTGGACACTGACAGCAGAATTGGAGAAAAGGATTCAGACAACAGAGACGAAATGCTGCCGCAGACTCTTGACATCTCATACAAAGACCGCATTTCTAATGCAGAGGTACGGAACACTATCACAAACGCAGTGGGGCAGCATGGAGATCTTTTGACCACAGGGAAGAGATGAAAATTAAAATGGTATGGGCATGTCACAAGATCCACAGGACTTGGCAAAACAATCCACAAGGAACCGTAAAAGGAAAGAGAAAGAGAGGAAGGAGATGGGAGGACAGGGAAGACGATGGGTGACAATCTGAGGAAAGCAGAGGATAGAGAGAAATGGCGAGAGCTGGTTGTCAGATGCAGTGGTGCCCCCACGGTTGCCCCAACCACGGGATAGAAGAAGAAGAACAATTTCTTTTTAAAATAAAAAAAAATTGTTATGGGCCCAACCCTTCTAATACCCATTAAAATACATTCTTGAGGTGATTTTTCTAACAAACATTTATCAAAGGCATTAAAAAAAAAATGTAAATTTGTGGTTTCCACAGACACTACAGTCAATTTTTGCGGCCATTTTCTCGCTAATATACTCCTCACATCAGGCGACCCCACCCTCCTTTAATCAAACCTATCACGACTTCTATTCAAGATAGATGGATCATTTTTTCATCAAAAGAATGGCGTTAGTACAAGACATCATTAAGCTAGAGACAGATGCACCTCAAACTTCTGTCATTATGTCGCAAATTGTCAAAGAGAGGCAGCACGAAACTGAGCATAGATATCCGAACCGAAGCAAGCGGAAACACAAAACATACACAAGAAAAGAAGAAGAAGAGGAAATAATAACAACAGTAAAATATAACCAAAGACTAACTGTCAGAAGCTGGGATTAAAAAGAAAAATCAAGCATACCCTTATGTCTGCTTGGACATTGTATCCCTCTCAGCCTGGGTTGGCCCTGACAGGCATGGGTGGTCGAGGTAGCCTGCCTACTAAATGAACTAAATTGTTTCAAGAAAAGTGTACAATTTCTAAACTATTACAATTTTACAATTTGATGCTACCTTGACCAACGAAGGCACGATCTTCAGACTGCTTAACCTAATCTGATAAAACCTTTTCCGTAGTTTTGGAACAGTAATGTCCCAGCAGCCCGCCACTCAAATAATCTAAATAGTGTTGGTGAAGGCGTAACAACATTCAATGACTAATTCTACAGCAAAACGTGATAGTATGCCCACGGTCGTAGAAAAGTTGGAAGACTACAGACTCCAGTCCACACAGACCAGGGACAGCATGCATAATCCATAGACTTGTACCCCAAGACCACGCATGGTCATGGCCGCTGCTATAAAAACCACCCTTCGAGGCGAGTGCACATTGGCGTGGGTCGCTCCTTTACGCCCAAACGAAGGGCAAAGAAAAGGACCAACAAATCAACAGCTCATTATATGATGCAACTGTGGCCAGCACCCCTCCCGGCCAATACCCTTTATTTTACAAATAGCTGAGTCAAATTAGACACACATTGTGTCAAATGGTGCAGTCCATAGTGAATCAGTGCTGCGTCAGAGTGCACGGTCTAGAATTTTGAAATACAAATCTAAGACATTATCTTTTTAACATTGTTTATATAGTGGTAATGGCGCTACAATAGTAAAATCAAAGGTGTCTTTTTCTTCTTCCTTTTTTTCCCTTGGGTAATTAATTACAGTTTTAGATACTATACATTTTGTCTTTAACTTAAACATGAATTAATGAATTTGAAAGAATAAAAAAGCGAGTCGTCTAACATAAAAAACAACAACTAAAGAACATAATAATAATTATTCTTTTTACAGTCTACTTAGTCATCAACACATGATGTGGATTACAAATACTGTCCCAAAAATATCAACAGCAGGAGAAAAATTTATATTGCTACTTATTATTCAGTAGTACAAAGTTCAAGGAAAACATAATTTTCAACTGGAAATCAATAGAGTGTTCAAATATATAAAAGTGGATATACATGCAGGTCATGTTTCCTTTTCAACGTCTCCCCCTCCCTCTTTCTCCCCTCTCTCCCCCTCTCTCTCTCTCTCTCTCTCTCTCTCTCTCTCTCTCTCTCTCTCTCTCTCTCTCTCTCTCTCTCTCTCTCTCTCTCACCCCTCTCTCCCTCTCTCTCTCTCTCTCTCTCCGGCTGCCCTTCCCTCCAACTTCATACACCTGTATAAATAAATAACAAAATTATCTTTCACACACACCAAACATACTTAGCCCACCCCGCAAACTCACAACATATACCCAAAATACCTTATAGTCTCAACGCCTTTAAATGATATTTCGTTTCTTTCAACACGTCCAATCTTCAGCACTTATATTACCTAATTGTGTAGGAAGTGTCGTAAAACTCTTATTCAAACAAAGGAAATAGCGTTCACCATACAACACTTAGTTAAAAGAAAGAAAAACAGCACCAGTCCTCCAACACTACACACCCTCCCTAACGAAACACTAAGGGGTCTTTTCACTTTTCGACAAACTTTCATCCTATTGATAACTTGATCCCATCACGCACCCAGAACTAGAGACAAACAAGTCACCACCACCAGTGAAGTAGTGGTTACACTCTCCGTCTCGCACGAAAATGAAGTGTGTATCATTATCACGCTGCAAAACCACAATCGAATCCCCCAATCCATTTTCTTGGGAAGGATCCCACGTTGCCCGTGAAAACCCTGGATATAAGCAGCTACGTGTGACGATGGAGGTGCACAATATTCACAACAGTACACTCTATTAATAAACATGCGTTGTAACATGTTCGTGTAAGGTCATACCAGAGCCCCCTCCCCCCCCC